ATATATATATATATATGACTCGAAAATCGGTTTTGTTAAATATTGGTAGTTGTTATTATTATTAGAATAATAGTAATAACTACCCACCAAAAAAAAAAATAATAATAATATTAATAAAATATTATTTCACGTCTCAATGCGAAGCGTTTGAGTAGTGCTTTACTTTCATTCTCTGAAGGTCAAACAATTATCTCGGCTTGAACAGCTTTTATCTGATATTTTTTTTTGCACTTAGAATATTAAATACTTGGATATTATAAAAAAAAAACTATGAAAAAATATTTCAGTAGACGTCAGCTCTAAAAACTTCACTTATTGAGTCCATTTATTTTTCATTTACTTTAGTATCATTCAGAGAAATAGCATATTGAAAATAACCGTCTAATTCAATGTATTTTAATTAATAAAAAAAGATTAAATTCATTAACAGTGAATAGTATTTGTTGTATATCTATTAGAGTGGTTCAAGAAACTTTTTAATTTTTTTTTTAACTCTTACCCTCTCAAATGTTTCTATTTGATATAAAAAATAATCCTCACTAAATACGAGCCCTATAGCTCAACTCTAAGGGGTCGCTTGTTTTATTTTAGTTTCCCATTTAATTAATATGGGAAAAATTGAAGGCTATGTAATTAGTATGGGAAAAATGGAAGGCGCGAAGGCTATTGTTGATACAGGAATGGCCTTTTGTTTGTTTAAAAGGGGACACTTAGAGTTATTGAAAAAAAGTATTTTGGAAAAAAATTTTCAAAAATGCCAAATTTGAAAAATTTTGAATTTTTGGAAATCGTTAAAAATGACGATCTAAGTTAAAATTTTTCTTGTATATTACATTGTATACTCATCTTAAAAAATTCTGAAATTTTGAGAAGTGTTTTTTTTTGAAAAATATCAATTTTTAAATTTCGAAAAAAAAATTTTTTTTTCGTTTTTTTCAACTTTTAAATTTGGTAAAGTTATGCCGATACATAGTATTATAAATTTGAGGATTAAAAATTGAATGCATCACGTGGAAATATTAAATAATAAATTAATTTCAACTTTATTTTATTTTTTTGACATCCCCTTCCCCTAAGTTAAATCAAGACATAACGCTGAAGCCCTTATTTTAAGGTCTTAAAGTAAATACCACTTTTTTTAATTACAAAAATTTTTTTCAATACTATGACTATATTGTGATTCTTACACTTGACATGCCTTCAATTTGTTATTTATTCTAATTATATTTAGAAGATAATTTGCAATTTAAGCAGTAAAGTCAGTGAGCTATATCCTTAAAAGGAATAATTATTTATCTAAATAATGGTGAATATTTGGAAAACAATTGAATCACTTTTAAGCTCGGTCATTTAACAATTGCAAGGCTCTGAAAGTCTATTTTTATATGTTATTCAAAAAGGTCTTCAATAACAATTGATATGAAAAAAAAAAACTTTATTTTTTATAAGCAACATATATAATTACATATAGCAGGCGTTAATAAAAATTAAGTTAAATTTATAAACAACTAAAATAATAGATACTAGCGATGTGTTTTTTACATATCTAAAAAATTGATTTTTTATGAATAAAAACTTTTTTATGGATTATTCAAGACTTCTTAGTGCTTAAAATTTTGCAACGATTAGTAGCTCAGTTTAATAAAATAATAAAATTATTCGTTTAAATATAATTTATTAAAACTTTAAAATCATAATTATTAATGAAACAAACTAAAACTAATTACATTTTTATGAGATACATTGAAAATAAATAAGCAATATTACAGAAAATTATAAACTTTCAATAACAATCGATATAAAAATTAAACAGTAAATGAGTAAAGAATTGTTGACATGAGTTTTAATAAATATTTTTAATAACACACTAATTATTTTTAAATTTCTTTGAATTTCCAATTTTTTTTCTTCCTTCAAATTAAACTCTAATTCATTCATAGAATTATTATCAATTGACACGTTTGCCGTACAATATATTTAAATCCTACATAAAGTAGTTTTAATTTGTTCATAAAAACAATTTTTTTTTCGAAAAATCTAACAAACTAATCCTTCCATTAAATATGAATAATGTAAATCAGACAAACTTGATTACTAATGGTATTTGTAACACAAATTGTAAAAATGATAATTCTGTTATTATTATAATGTTTTTTACATTCCGAAATTACGATGTTTCAGACAATTGATACAATGAAGTTATTGATGTCATCCATATTGGTCCATACTTTGGTGTTATTAAAAGCTTGAGTCATATGTCTCGTACACTCTAAAAATTGATTAATGTCCAGAGTTCCATTGTCGTATAGATCCCATACATATTCATACATCGATTTTTTCATTGTAATTTGAAGTTTTGGTTGTCTTCGAATTTCTAAGTTTTGCTTCAAAGATAGCGTCTCTATTTTTTTCAACTCTTGAAGCGCTGCTAATTGTTCTTAAAGTGAAAATTGCAAAGATTTTTAATTAGTTATTGATAAATTTAAACTGTAGATACAAATTGTTATGTTGATAAAATGACTACTAAATATACTAGTACCTGTGAACTCCCAAATTGATGGATGCGATCCCATTTTTAATCGTAGTACCCTATGATACGATTCAATAAAATTATTCGTTTTATTCGATTGTCTATAACAGCAGAACCGCGCTGGCTTAATAATTTTTATCCAATAACTTTGAAAATAATCTATCAATTCTTTCAATAATAGCTTAATTTCTTTATGCGAATTTATTAGCCATAAGAATGCTTCATTTATGTCATTGGCTGGTAAAAGGGGTAGACACAATAATTTCCTGATGAAAATCTTTATATCATCTCTTTCCTGAATTAATTTACCTAATTTTAGTTCTTTCGTTTTTTTTAGTACTGCCTGTAAAAAAAAAAAAAAAAATAATTTAAAAACTGCCTTTTTGAATAGATGTTACACAGTGAAAAATTTTTCGTCATTGAGTCAAACAATTTTATGTTAAATATTTAACATTTTTTTGTGTTGATTTAATAGAATAAATGTTAAATTCACACATAAAAGTATTAAATATTTAACACAAAAATTTTTAACACAATGTCGTTTGACGCAATAACGCAAAATTTTTGACTGTGTATTATAGGATATAGATATCCAAAAGTAAGTACTGCTTCACCTGATTAAAATGAAAGTTACACCCTTGTATTTCTGCATCAATATAAACAGACTTTATGGCACCCATCAAACCCAATTCAAAATCTGAAGTAACCAAATTTATTTTAAGATGTGGAGCTAATTCTGTTGCAAAGTAATGAAAAATGTCCTTATAACTAATTTTACTTTTGTTTGTCATTATAGCCCATGTTATCGGAATTGCCTGAAAAATTACGTGATATAAGAACATATATTTAATAAAAAATTATAAATTTTTCAATTATTCTTAACCCTTGGAATTTTCAAAGTAAAATGTATCACTAAATTTAACGAGGGAAACCTTTTGTAAATAACAATTTGAAACTTACATTATCATCTATTATAGCCATAATAGTTAAAAATTGATATATTTCGGTAGGTGCTCGAGGACATACTTCATAAGTCGCATCTATAAGCAAATGGGTCGTATTTATGGTTTCTAAAAAGTTTTTATCAGCTAAAACAGCAGCAGAAGATCCATCTTTACTTTCAATACTCATAACTTGCAGTTTGCTCAGATTACGTGATAAAAAATGTTTCCATTGTTCCATATTTAAAAAATTAACGTAATCTTTTAAACTTTTAGGCAGTGGGGGACGAATTTCCCTTCGCCAATTATTTATTGTTGAAAGCATACTGTTAAAGGGTACCAATGTAGCGCCTTCAGGAAATCTATAAAATTATGAGCATGATAATTAACAATTTATGCACAAAACTGATGTATGGCAATATAAAATTGAGCATAAAGATTTAAGTAATAACTATCTAATCTAACAATTTTATAAAATTTGTACAACTTACTTCATTAAGTTTACTATACATATTCTGCTTTATTTAATCCGAACAGAAGAAAAACATAAATATAATGGTAAGTGATTATTTTTAAAAAACTCATTATGAAAACCATTTGAGAGTGTTTGGCAATCATGAATTATTTGAATAATTAAATTTTTATTTTATTCAAGGTATCTACTACTCGAGTAAATGAGATATCATTAAAAATTAACTTGATGTAGTGAATCATAATTTATAACAAATAGATTATTGTTTTAAAGAACTGATTGCATATACACAGGTAAAGATTCAAAAAAAATAAAAAGTACGCTTTGATAGAAAACTAAAGTAATAAATAAAGAAGAATTTTTTAGAAAAATTAAAAATAAGCAAACAGTGATTGATAAAAAAAATACTGTTTATGTATATAAAACATGAGATTCTCTCTAAGATAATTCTACAAGTCTCGTCCTTACATCAGTATCTATTTATAAAATATTCATTTAAATTTACATCAAGCAATTCACGCTTAATTATATTAAAATTTTTTATTTAATAACCACTTTATCTCTATTTTTAAGTTTTTTCTAAATTTTTTTCTTATTTGAAAAAAAAAACTTCATGTACAGTTCATGCTTTTAAAAAAAAAAAAAAAAAAAACAAAGTATGTGGATATTCTAAAATAAGTATCTTTAACAGATAATAATACAAACCTTAAACATAATTTTCCGTATATAATGCAAGGTTTTGTTGAACTTGTAGTAATTTCTTTCTTAAACTCGTCTTTGAATTGACGAATGAGATATTCAGCTTTCGGTTCAACATGGTTGTGGTTTTTGCTCAATGTAAAATTTTTCTCCGTATTATTCTCGTCAACTTCAAATTTTAAACGTGCAGGACATTTTTTTGACCGAAATTTGTTACATATCATATACCTAAATAGGAAGATTTATCATTTTTATACATCATCGGTAATCTAATTAATAAATTGCTAAATTTTATGTATAATTAAATATATAAATTAAAGCAATATATAAAATTAATTATAATTGTATAATTTAGCTCAAATCAAAAAGTTTTATATTTAAGAAACAAATTTAAAAAAAAAAAAAATAAATAAAATTGAAAAAATAAATTTTTATTATTCTCAAACACGAAAAAATAATTTTTTATTTTTATACCAAAAAAAACCACAGTTTACAATATATATATTGTAAACTGTAAAAAACTTTTGAATTTTTTTTTTTAACTTTTACCCTCTCAAATGCTTCTATTTGATATAAAAAAAATCCTCACCAAAGATGAGCCCTATAGCTCAACTCTAAGGGAACGCTTTTTATATTTTAGTTTCCCATTAAATTAACATGGGAAAAATTCTTTCTTGTTTTAAATTGAATTTACACATAATTAACGCAATTTTTCACAAAAAACAATTATATATTCTTAAAGTAGAGTTTTTGAGCTTTACAAAACTCTAAGACAAAATATGATTATCTCTAATACAAAAAGACTAGTTACAGCCATTTAAAAATGACTAAATTTTGAAATTTAGAGAAATAGTTGGCAATTGGGTCATTCCATATCGAATCGACAAAAAGTTGGAATCGATCTCTTTCGATTTAGATAAATTTTGATTAGAAGTTTTCGTTTATCATAAAACGAAGTTCTGCCAAAGAAAAAACAATAAAAAATTGTTTTCAAATGATATGCAAATTCAAAATTTTGCAATTCTTTTAGTTTTTTAATTTTTTTTTTGTCATATCTTGAAGGCTATTGTAGATACAGGAATAGCCTTTTGTTTATTTAAAAGGGGACACTTAGGGTTATTGAAAAAAATATATTTTAGAAAAAAATTTCAAAAATATCAAATTTTGAATTTTTGAAAATTGTTTAAAATGACGATCGAAGTTAAAATTTTAGCTCAAATTTTTTTATATAATACATTGTACTCATCTTAAAAGATTCTGAAGTATTTAGAAGGGTGTTTTTTTTTTTTAAAATGTCAATTTTTAAATTTCAAAAAAAAAATTTTTTTTCGTTTTTTGTAACTTTTAAATGAGGTAATAACTTAATTTCAAATTTTTTTATTTTTCATGCGTTGAAGATGACCCTAAGATCAACAATTGAAGAGCTTTACTTCATCTTTTTATCTATAATATATTTATTTCTTATGTAAAATCATATGATCACAGATGAAGAATGTAAAACTCTTAATTAAACTGAAGTTTAATGGAAGATTATAAGTGCACGGAGAAAATTTTATAGTAGAGTTTATTATCTAGTTATGTTAAAATTTGTTAACTGAATTCAATAGTAGTAAATATTATTTAAATAATTAAGTAAACCATCTGAATTGTAGTATTTACCATCCTGATGGTAACTACTACTATTATGATGGTAATCAGTAATAATAACTGTTATTATTTTAATTAATTACTATTATTATCAAAATCGTAATTCCTAATATAACCTGATAATTGCAGTTACCATCAGTAATAATAATAACTACTATCTAAGCTATAAGTAAAAAATATTAAAAAAATTAAGAATCTGCGTTACCGTGGATGCATTTCTGAATAAACTAAAAGCAGCTGTAGTGCAGTGTAGTGCACAAAAAATCGGGATTAAATTCGGATTGAATTTATATTTAAATTTTTATTTGTCTAAAACAAGTTTCAACGCCAAATTAACAAAAAAAATTCGAAATTTCCAAAAAAATCAAAATTTTCAATAAATTTCAAATTAAAAAAAAAAATTTTTAATCTTCAAAAAAATTGAATTTTCAAAAAAAAATTTTAAAGGGAATTTAAAATATTTTAATATTTGAAAGAAAAAAATGTACATTAGCTACAATATGGATGTAAATAAAGGATTTAATTAAGTAAAGTTATATTATTTTTCTATCAGAATTTTCACAATCTGAGATGGTTACAGTTACCATCTTCGATTGTAACTGTTATAATTTATAATAATTACAATTATTATTTTCGATTGTAATCGTTACCATTATTAATAGTAATTATTACAATTTTCAATGATACCACCTATTATTTTGTTACTAATTAATTTTATTACCATTTTAGATACCAGGAGTTACTATTTTTGTATAGTAGGTAGTATAATTAATTTTTCTTCGTGTGGTCATTTATAAATCATATATGATTCACATGTGACTGTATATGATTCATATATGATTTTTAATGAACATTCTGGAGAAAAATATATGTTTTTTATTGTTAAAAATGTCATATACAATTATGTGGTTCATACGTAAATCATATATGATTTTAAATGATCATGTATGAAGGCAAATATATATTTTGACTGTTTGAAGCTTTATGTATCACAATATGTGGGACATATGAAGAATATACTTTGTTTCGTCTTTGTAAAATTGATACATGGTTATATTTATATAGAGATATGTGAAAACAGATGTATTATATTTTTTGATCAGTGTAAAGTTTCACATTAAATAATATGTGATCATATCTGATTATTAATGAAGAAAAATATATATTTTTTTCTGTTTTAAATTCCATATCAAATTATATACAATTTATATGCGTTGGTACATAATTCACAATCGATTTTAAATTAACATCCGTGATGAAAAAAATACTTAAGTTTTTATAGTGTTTGAAGTTTGATATAAGATGATATTTGGTCACACATAAAGAAGAATACATATTTCTTCATTTATATATGATCCAATAGAAAATTTTTTTAAACGCAAGAATAATCATGAAACTTCTCTATTTCCAGCAAACTCCAAAATAACATCTTGACATAAAATTTAAGTGATTACCAGTTCGAAAAATAGTTGTATGAATTATTTATTTAATAATTTCCATAAAGCATCTAATGATTTCAAAAATAAGTCTTTATCAGTCATGTAAACTGACAATTAGTCGTCAAAAGAAAGGAAATATACAATTAAAGTGAAGTAAAATTAAAGTGACAAGCACTTTTTATTTCTTAAAATACCTCCAAGATCTTCGAATATTTTGTGATTTCTTTTATTAACTTAGTACACGGTCTGCTTTTAAATAAAGTTCATGCACTTCTGAGCATACAAATATTCATGTCTTCTTTATATACAAATATCTATAAATATTATATGTAGCTAACCACCTATAGAATATCTCAAACTTACTAACGATGTTTTAAATTGTTACGATCTAGGGCATTTTGAATCATAGAGATTTTTTTAGAATTCTATTAATATTTAATATTTTATTATTTTTTTTAAGACCTAAAATGAAAATTAAGATATTAAATAAAGTAATTACACTGTTGATACAAACAGTACAATATACAATAGCTCAAAGATAAGTGTGTTGACAGATAAATATACAGCGATACCAAAAATATTATAGAAATATCCCACGCACGTAATGCAATCCTCGTTGTAAGGTGACCAAATTTAGTTAGTGACTAGCAGACGCCCTCGAGACAAGTAAAACTTCAACATTTAAATGACTAACTCAAAAAAATGTTATCTTTTGTTAAATCTTAAATAAGCCAAGAATTTGCATTAAACATTAAATTAATAATTGCATAATTTCATAATGCCGCAAAATTAAAATTAAAATTCCGAAAAATTATTTATCATTGCACATTGCATTCAGTAGCATTAAGCTCCACTCGATAAATTTATTACCAGAGTATCATCAAAATTTAGTCTAATGCCTGTTGGAATTCAGCCATCATTAGTAATTAATTACGCTGTTTTAAAAATCTCTTTTATAAGGCTATTAATGCTGATTCATACAGACTTATGAATAGAATTTTAATATTATTAATATCCATAATCTAGGTTGGATATTTTTTATTGTAATTGTTGTTTAATAATCACTTACTGATGGCTTGCACAATTTTTTTAACAAGCAAGAGGCTAAAAATTTAGTTATGAATTATTTTTGGATCTCAAATTTTCGTCCTTCACTTGAAAAATATGAAAGATTTGAGAAGAAACTTGACGATCTTGAGGACTAGAATATGCTTAATTTATGTTGAAGGATGAATTATGGAAATATAAAAGAATTTGTAGTTGAAAAAGTGAATTACGCTAATAAAAAAATTGTTGATTCAAGAGAAATATTGTTGGTTGAATAAAAATATTTTGAAGAGAATTTTACGTCTTGATTAAAAAATTTGATGTCTTTAAATTTTGTTTATTGGTAAAGAAAAATTTTATGTTTCATGATCGAAAATAATTTATATTAAAAATAAGACTATAAATAATATATATAAAATTAGGATGAAAAAAATTAAGAAATACATGTATGAAAATTAAAAAAATTTTTAATTCCATAAAAAATATACTAAAAATATTTGAAATACTTTCATTTTCTTGATTTTATTCATGAATTTCTAGAAATAATTTGAATTGAAAGTCTCGAAGAAAGAATAAAATTTTGAATAAACTGTTTTATTTGAATTCAAATTTTTTTTTCAGTGTCTCAAACATTATTAAATTGTTTCTATGATGAAAATAAATTTTTGGCTTAAGATTTATTGACTCAATTATTATCTATTATGAAACTAAAAAAACGATTTATATAAAATTTTTTATAAATTATTATACACTTCAAATCTTAATGATCTGTTTATTAAAAATAAATTTTCTAACAATAAAGTTATCTTGAATTAAAATTGAATTATTAGAATAATAAAATCTATAAATAAGTGAAAATTGTTTGTTCATTAAACATGTGTTTGTTTAAAAATAACTTACACATTCATTTGTAGAGAATAGAAATGTATATAAATAGCGATAAACATTAATGAATAATAAATATTTAAAATGAAAAATAAAAATACAAAAAAAAGATAAACAGTTTCAGTAAAACTAAAATTCGGTTATAAAATCAAAGCGTCCGTGAATATTGATAATATTAAGATCTCTCGTTTTCTTCAAGTTCTTATTCCGAAATTATCAAGACGACTTATACTAATTATAGAATGGTTCACGTAAGACGATATCTTACAGTAAAGCTTCTTCTTCTTCCTCGTATTTTGTGTTTAAAGAAATAAAAAAATTTTTCCATTATAAATATACATATTTTCTACAACTTTATTTATAGAACGTACTTTCATGCTTCAATTAAAAAATACAACGAAATAAGTCTTTTACAATATTTTGCTCCGTTTAATAAATGAATTTTTATTTATTTTGATAAGGTTTTTTCATGAAATAATTTCTAAGATTTCTTCATACTAATTTATATGATTGTTTGTATTATGGTTGCAAGATTTGCTTATAATAAAATTATTTACAACTAGATTTTTACACAATTACACCAGATTAACTTTTTATAAAACACGGTTTTATAAGATTTCTTCACAAAATTTTCGTTTCACATAAAATCCCTTCGAGCTTTGCTAAGAGAAAAATTATTTTTAATCAAATATGCATAAGATTGTACAAAATTTATTTTTTATGAAAAGATTTTCCAAGATTTCTTTATAAAAGTTTTTTTTAACATAAGATTTTTGAAAGATTTGCTTGTAGAAAAATTATTCACAATCAGATTTGCTCAAAATTATACTAGATTTATATTGTACGAAAAAATTTAACAAGATTTGTTTAGAGGCGCGCAGTAGCCTATCGGATCCGGCCCTTGCTACCAAAGCATTGGACCGGGTTCGAATCCGGCGTACACCAATGAATATTTTCAATATTTAAGTGTATATTATTCTGCTCAGCCCAAGAAATACAAACGAGTTCCAATCTCAAAAGTTTACCCCCAACCGTAGTCGCTCATGACCTTAGTAGTTTATGCGACTTTAAACAAATTAAAAGAAAAAAAAAAAAAAAAGATTTGTTTATAAAAAAAAATTATTTATCATAAGATTTGAACAAAATTATATCAGATTCATTTTTTACAAAAAGATTTTATCGTGAAAATTTTTTTTCACAAGATTATTGTAAGATTTCTTTAAAAAGAAAATGATTTATATCCAGATTTGAACAAAATTATACTAGATTTATAGTGTATGAAAACTTTTGCAAGATTTTTCTATAAATTCCCTCTTTATTACAAGATTATTTCAAGCTTTGTTTGTAGAAAAATTATTTATGACTAAATTTACGTTTTAAAATCTTCTAAATTTTTATATCTTTCTTAAAAAAAAAATCTACTTGGATTTTTTGAATGTCGCAAGATTTTATAAGATTTATCGACCTAAATATTAATTAAGTAATTTTTTGTACAGGTATCTGAGAAAGAATCTGTGCAAAATTTCATTGAAATCTCTTCATAAAAAGATTTCGCAAGTTTTTCTCAACAAAAAAAATGTATAATAAATTAAAGTATCGCAGCCCGTAAAAATTAAACGAAACTTCAATTCAACATTTGCATAAATGTACATTGAAATATTATTCAAAAGTACTTTAAACAATGCAGCATAAACACACATATGTCGGGTATTTGCATTCATAGAAGCTTAAAGCCAGAAAAAAATTCTGAAAGATTTAAGTTCCATCTGATTGAATGATATTCACCGACTATAGCGCGTTAATCCAGTCTTATCCGTCCACTGTTACTGTTCCTGAATATAAACATTTAATTCAATATCTGTACGAATAGAAATTCTCTGTGAACTAACATGCAATGTCTGTACCGATATATATGTATAAATAATACATATACCATGTAACACATACTGTATACATGTATTCTACTTCTATTTGCACGTTTTCGCTCACTCACCCAGCGTTTTCCGTGTTTACCTCGGCACTAAACTCCCTGTTACTAATCCATGTACGTTTTACTGATATTAACCTTTCTCTATACATTAATACATAAATCATACATCAAAAATTTCGTATATTTCATAATCATACATAACTTTTCCTTCAATTTATCCCCTTTTTTATTTTTCCGTACTTTTAATTATTTAAGGGGTTACATGGGTTTCCTCCGGGGAAAAATGGCCTATTTTCAACAATTTTTTTAATATAAAAATTAAAATATTTTATTCAAACTTTTTACTGTCTTAAAGATACATGATAAATAAGGAAAAAAGATGCATACGCGTTGACAGCAGAACTCCTAGCAGGATTATTTAAAATGAAAAAATTAGAAACACGGTAAACCCTGAAGGCCATTCGTGCAACTTCCCGCTCATTTCATACCTAGGTGCTTAAAATTGCACTAATAATGTTTTTGAGCTCTCCGAGTGCAAAAGTCTGATAGAAGTTTGATAAAACAAAATTTTTCAAATTTTCAAACCGCAATAACTTTTGAATGAATGAACCGATTTCTACGCGGTTGGCGGCGATCAACGTGGTTTTTTTTATGTTAAAAGCTGATTAGTTTTTGGAATTGATCGGTAGAGCCGTTTGAATGTTATTCCAAAAAATGTCGGAGTTATGTTGAAAAAACACTTGTTTCCAAATATTTCGTCGAGGATATCTCTCGAACCAATCAACCGATTTTTACGGTCTTGGCGGCGATCAACGCAGTTTTTTGAATTCTAAAAATTATTCTATGTCATCGAAAACGATCCGATAAGAAATGTCGAAGATATGTAAAAAAACACTTTTTCGGTTTTCTTTCGTTCACGATATCTCTTGAACGAATTAACCGATTTTGACCGATTTAGCGGCGATCGATGTGATTTTTCAAGCTTAAGGGCGGATTAGTTTTTGGAGTTGATCGATAGAGCCGTTTAAAAGTTATTCCAAAAAAACCACTTAAAAAAAAAATTTTTTTCTTATTTTTTTTGAGATTTTTCAAAACTTCTCAAAATCTATTGGTCCGAATCGGTTCAAATTCACAGGAAATCTAAGTTTGAGGGAAGTCTTTAGAACGCCGTTTGGTACATTCCGATCGGTTTAGTCGTTCAAAAGTTATAAGCGAATCACACACACACACACACACACACACACACACACACACACACACACACACACACACACACACACACACACACACACACACACACACACACGCGCGCGCGCGCACACATACATACACATACATACAGACACATAGTCAGAGAAGCTTCCTAGTACCTCGAAGCTTTGCGTCAAATTTGTGTTCCAGAGTCAAATTTGTGTTCGATTTGAGCATCTACACACACACACACACACACACACACACACACACACACACACACACACACACACACACACACACACACGCACACACACACACGCGCGCGCGCGCATGCACATACATACACATACATACAGACACAGTGACAACCTCGCGGGGATAGTCAGGGAAGCTTCCTGTGACCTTCAAACGTCGAGATCTGATGAAAACTCGATTTTTGCAAAACGGGGTGAAAACAATAACTTCCCGATTTTTGAAAATTTTCGATTTTCTTAGCGGGAAGTTAAAAAAAAATATGTACTTTAGATAAAACTTCAAACTAGGACTTGGACAAAGGAAAAAAAAAATGAAAACTGGATTTTTAGCAAAGGTTTTTACGATAAAATGAAAAATTTGGCTAAAATTTCGAGGCATTTTTTTTTTTAAATAGTCGTAATTGAAAAAAAAATCCTTTATCCCAGACCTTGTAAATTATATCTCGAAGTCCTGTCTAAAATTTCATTAAGATCGGTTGAGTAGTTCTCGAGAAATCTTGACAACCGTCATTGAAAACATAGTTTTGAGAACAAGGCGTTTAAAGTTTTGAGTGACAATATACAACAGCGCCTTGAGCGCGTAACTTTTTAAAACTGTATATCTCCGAAACTATTATTCGGAGCGATTTGAAACTTTAGGACAATATTCTAGAGATGTTGTAAAATTTAATAAGACAATAAAAAAAATCTGGAAAACGGTTGACCCTAAAGGCCACCCCTGCAACTTCCCGCCAATTCCATACCTAAACGCTTGAAATGGCACTTATGACGTTCCTGAGCTCTTCGAGCTCAAAAATACTATTTGTGTGTTATTTTGAGCTCTCCGAGCTCAAAGAAATAGCTTTTGTATGCTTTTGAGCTCTTCGAACTCAAAAGTCTGATAGAATTTCTAAATGAATGAATAGATTTTTATGCGGTTGGCAGAATTCCACGCAGTTTTTTAGAATCTATGATATACTTTTGAACACAAACTGATCGAATGGAAAATCTTAGAGAAATTCGAAAAATTCACTTTTTCCGAATTTTTCCGACCACGATAACTCACGAACCAATCAACCAATTTTTACGTTCTTGGTGGCGATCGACGTAATTTTTTGAGCTCTAATAATTATTTTATTTCGTCAAAAACGATCCAAAAAGAAATCTCGAAGTTATGTGAAAAAAACACTTTTTTTGAAATTTTTCGTTTTCGATAACTCTCGAACAAATCAACCGATTTTGATGAGACTGGTTGCAATCGACGTGGTTTTTCAAGCTCAAGAGCTGATTAGTTTTTGGAATTGATCGGTAAAGCCGTTTAATAGTTATTCCAAAAAAACAATTTTTTGAAAATTTTATTTTTGAGATTTCTCAAAATCTAGCGAACCGAATCGATTCAAATTTTCACGAATTTTAATGGCTATGATACTCTTTGGATCGCCACCTATTTCGATCCAATCGGCCGAGCCGTTTAAAAGTTATAAGA